TTAGTGTCAACTTGACACACCTGGGTAGAGGGAGCCTCAACTGGGGCATTGCCTCCATTGGACTGGCCTGTGGCCATGTCTGAGGGGCATCTTCTTGATTGTTGAGCGATGTGGGAGGGCCCAGCCCACCGTGGGTGGTGCCACCCCTGGGCAGGTGGGCCTGTGTTGCATAAGAAAGCAGGCTGAGCAGGGGCCAGGGGAGCAAGCCAGTGTTTTGTTTTGATTTGTTTTTTTTGAGATAGGGTCTTCTTGTAGCTCCAGCTGGCCTGTAACATGCTATGTAGACCAGGCTGGCCTCCTAAGTGCTGGGATTAAAGGCATGGGCCACCATGCCAGCTCTCAAATTTATTTTTTAAAATATTTTTATTTTTATTTTATATGTATGTGTATTGCCTGCATGCATGTAAGTGCACCCGTGTTGTACAATGCCCATGGAGGTCAGAAGGTAGTGTTGGATCCCTTGGAACTGGACTTGTTAGCCACTATGTAGGTGCTGGGAACCGAACCTGAGTCCTCTGCAAGAGCAGCCAGAGCTCTTAACTGCTGAGCTGTCTCTCCAGCCCCCTCATTTTTAATTAGGAGAAAATAATACCTGAAGCTACTTCTGCTAGATTTTCCAGTTACATGAACATAGTCCCCCAACACCCTTGAAACAAGCTCCTCCCATGTACCACAGGTTGACCTCATCTTGTGATCCCTCTGCCACAGCCTCCCAACTGCTGGGATTACAGAGCAGTACCCCCCAAACCCTTCAGAACTACCGAGAAGAAATTCGTTATCTTCCAGTGACTAGATTTTAATAACAAGAGGAAAGGGTGACAGTCCTTACCAAGGACTATGTTTCTGAGACCAGCTACCATATAAACCTTTCTGGAAAATGACATAGATCTGTCCCTTGGTACCCAAGGGGATCTGTTCCGGAAACTTCCTCAAACACCAAAAATTTGAGAATGTTCAACCTCTTATATAAGATGGCAGACTATTTGCACACAGCCTGCATGCATCTTTCCTATATTTAAAAATTTTTTACATTTATATTTTATGTCTATGAGTGTTTTGCCTGCATGTATTTAAGTGTACCCACACATGCAGTGCCCACAAAGCCCAAAAAAGGCATCAGAGCCCCTGGAAGTGGTGTTATAGATGGTTGTTATCTGCCATGTGGGTGCTGGAAACCAAACCCTGGTCCTCTGCAAGAGCAGCCAGTGCTTTTAACCACTGAGCCATCTTGACTGGCAAAGAGAGCTCAAATGATCTCTAAAAATTGTATTTACTTCCTTATGTTTTTAAAAATTTTTATTATTTTTATTTTATGCGTATGAGCGTTTCGCCTGCATTGCATATCGTGCAATGCCCACAGAGGCCAGAATAAAGCATCAGATTCCCCTGGAACTGGAGTTATGGATAGTTGTTAGCCACCATATGGGTGCTGAGATTCGAACCCGGGTCCTCTGTAAGAGCAGTCAGTACTCTTAACTGTTGAGCCATCTCGACAGCCCCCTTCTCTGTTTTTTGTATGAGTTACCCGTGGCTGGGGGGTATAATTCAGTGGTAGAGCACTTTGCTAGCCTGTGTGAAGCCCTGGGTTCAAACCACAGCACTACAAAGGGAAAAACATTGCCTGCATCTTTTTATCATTTCTCAAAAAGAATTCCAAACAAATTGTCAGGATTTACTTAGCCTGCCAGAACCTTATTATTAAAAAAAAAGTTTTAATTAAAAAAAAAAACCCACAGTTAAGAGTATTCCAGGACCTTTTCTCCAGAGAGTAAAAAAATAACACAGAAAACCAAGGGGAAAACGAGAGCATTGAAATCAGCCCAAGGAAAACTGTCAGGAGCGAACAGGGGGAGAAAGCTCTACTTCCCTGCTCGTACCCAGTTTCCCTTATCTGTTGCACAGCCTCTCAGTGCACAGATGTCATGATTCACCCTCATTTCTTTTCTTTTTTGGGGGGAAATGGGGCTTTTTCAGATAAGTTCTCTTTATGTAGTACTAGCTGGCCTCAAACTGTCAGTCCTGTCTCTGCCTCTCAAGTGCTGGGTGGACTCTGCCTTTTTGGGTCTGTAGTGCTCAATTTGTCATATCTACAAACTCATGTCCTTTGGTTTCTCAATGTGGTACAGCTGTGTAATCATTTTCTTCCTTTCTAGTTTCAGGCTGAAATTTCCATTAATTGTGTGTTGGAATTCCTGACCAATCGTCCAATTTCATTTCTTTTCCATAGTTCATCTTTGCCTGTCAGTATGCTCTTTTTATTTTTATTTATTTATTTATTTATTTATTTATTTATTTATTGGTCGTCTTTTTGAGACAGGGTTTCCCTGTAGCCCCAACTGTCCTGGAACTCACTATGTAGACCAGACTGGCCTTGAACTCACAGATCCACCTGCCGCTGCCTCCCGAGTGCTGGGATTAAAGGTGTGCACCACCACACCTGGCTATTATTTTTATTTTTAATGTGCATGAGTGTTATGCCTGCATGTAGGTAAGTGCACCCATGTCCTGCAATGCCTGCGGAGGACAGAAGAAGCTGTTGGATCCCCTGGAACTGGAGTTACGGACAGTTGTTAGCTGCCTTATGGGTGCTGGGATTTGAACCTGGGTCTTCCGCAAGAACAGTCAGTGTTCTTAACTGCTGAGCCATATCTCCAGCCCCCCCCATATGCTCTTTTTAAATATTTATTTTTTTTTATTTTATGTGTATGAGTGTATTGTCTCCATGTATGTAAGTGCTCCCATGTCATGCAATGCCCATGGAGGTCTGAAAAGGGCATCAGATCCCCTAGAGCTGGAGTTACAGACAGTTGTTAGCAGCCATGTGGGTGGGTGCTGGGAACAGAACCCAGGTCCTCTGGAATAGCCGCCAGTACTCTTAACCACTGAGTCATCTCTCCGCCCAAGTATGCGCTTTTTTAAAAAGATATTTTATGAGTGTTTTGCCTTGCTGATATGTATACTGTGTGCATGCCTGGCGCCCACAGAGGTCAGAAGAGGGTACCATATTCCTTGAACTGGAGTTATGGACAGTTGTGAGCCACCGTATGGGTGCTGAGAACCAAAGCCAGGTCCTCTGCAAGAGGCCTGTGCTGGCAACCACATGTAGCACATGGTTTTTGAATTTTGCCAACAGCAGCTGAGAAGATATGGCCCCGCAAGCCTGGTGGGCTCCTCACCCACCTTCAGTAAGATGCTGATAGCGCAGGCCATGCCTACATTACCAACTCCAACGACCGTGATCTTACACCGGGAGGTCTTACCCTCTTCAATTAGGTTCTGAAAAAGTTTCTCCTTGACAGTGGACATTTTGAGAGCCTGATAAGGAAAACAGTTTTGATGAACGCCAGTTCCTCAAATCACTGTCTCTCACAGTTAGGACGTTCTAACGACACTGAACCACCTATTTTTTGGAAGAGGGGGGCAGTTGAGGCAGGGTTTCCCACTGTATCCTACATAGTCTAGGCTGGCCTTGAACTCCTGGCGATTCTCCTGCCTCAGCCTCTGGAATGCTGGGATTACACTGTGTGCCAGCACAGGCAGCTAGAAACTATTCTTGAGTTTGCAGAATGCGGGAGTCAGGGAACGAGGGACGCCAAAGAGAATTTCCTGGTGAGGCAGGAATGGGAGCATGCGGCATCAGGCTCCTCCTCCAGGAGGCTTCTCCCTCCCAGGAGGCTCCTCTTCCCCCAGGCTCCATCCTCCCGCAGGCTCCTCTACCCTCAGGTTCCTCCTCCAGGAGGCTCCTCTTCCCACAGGCTCCTCCTCCCGCAGGCTCCTCTCCACCAGCCCTGCACACCCTGGAATGCTTTCCTTTACAGGTGGCCAAAAGCACAACGCAGCTGCTTTTGAGGATGCAGAAAACACCTGAAAAACACCCCGACAGCAGAGGTGTGACACGAGTGTGCAAACCGGTTCTTGTTGGTGGCAAGTCCAGTAACGAACCCAACGGACTCCTACGTCAGCATGCAAGCTCCACCCCCAACCTGGCAGGTCCAGCAGGCTCCTCCCTCCCCACAGGCTCCTCCTCCAGGAGGCTCCTCTTCCCACAGGCTCCTCCTCCAGCAGGCTCCTCCCTCCCCACAGGCTCCTCCTCCAGGAGGCTCCTCTTCCCACAGGCTCCTCCTCCAGCAGGCTCCTCCCTCCCCACAGGCTCCTCCTCCCGCAGGCTCCTCTTCCCCCAGGCTCCATCCTCCCGCAGGCTCCTCCCCACCAGCCCTGCACACCCTGGAATGCTTTCCTTTACAGGTGGCCAAAAGCACAACGCAGCTGCTTTTGAGGATGCAGAAAACACCTGAAAAACACCCCGACAGCAGAGGTGTGACACGAGTGTGCAAACCGGTTCTTGTTGGTGGCAAGTCCAGTAACGAACCCAACGGACTCCTACGTCAGCATGCAAGCTCCACCCCCAACCTGGCAGGTGCACTGGCCAGTAGGTGTGTTTCCAGGACCTCGAGTGGAAGGTGTGTGCTGTGACCACGTGTGCGGACAGGCTTAGGAAGTGCTCCTTGGAGCCATGGCCCCGAGGGCCCTAACTTCATGCTAAGGGGGTGCAGCCTGGACCTGGGACCTGGGAAGAAAGGAATTGACTGCCCTGAGAATGAGAAGCAAACCTTTTGCTGAGGCCTTTCTCAGGCCTTTGCCCACACGTCGATCTGTAGGCATTAAAAAAAAAAAAAAAACAAAAAACAAAAAAACTAAGGGTCTCAGTAGTAAAGTGCTTGCCCCAGCGTGAGGATGAGCATGATCCCCAGAACCACAGCAAAAACCCAGGGGTGGTGGTGAGCTCTGAAATGCCAGTGCTGGTTAAGCAGAGAGAAGCCCCAGGCGGGTCAGCCAGCCAGTTTAGCCCTGATCAGTAAGCTCCGGCTGTCAACAAAACCTGAGGTCATCCCCTGGCCTGCATGTGTAGTAGCACACTAGGGCATGGCACGCACACGGCACACACACTGCATACACAGCACACAGGACACACGTGCACATATACCTCTCACACAGCACACAGACAACACACCACACGTGGTGTGGTGCATACATTCCTCCCCACTGTGTACACATACCCCACACATAGCACACATACATGCACCCCACATATCACACACACACATACACATACAAACATACAAGTACATGGCACACATGGCCCAGATACATATGCCCCCACAAATGACACACACATACCCCTGACACATAGCATGCATATACACACACACCACTTACACACACATCCCACATATTCACATGCACATATGCACACAAAAACATGCACACTTATGTACACACATGCAAACACATGCACACATACATACACAGACACACAATGCACACTTGCACACACATACCTGCCTACACAGCACACCTACACCCACATATGGCACACACAGGACACACATGGAACACATACAGGCACACATGTACACACGCAAACACAAACACCTGTACACATATACATACACATATATACATGTGTGCATACAATGCACACATGCACACAGAACCACAAACATACACACATACATGCACACATGTACACACATGCAAGTGTGTGCACATACCAAACATGCCCATATACACACATACATGCATGCACACACAACCACCATGCACCACACACATACACATATGCACTCATGCACATGTGCAGCATACACACTTATATGTGCGCACATACCTATGCACATACATGTGCACATGCACATACACACATATGCACATGCATTCACACAGACGCGTACACACACACTGGAAAGAGAGTCTCCAACTTCAGGACAGAGCTCCTAGATAAAGTGAGAGTTTCTCTTGAGAGAACAGGGTGGTAGTGAATGGAACAACTATGCCTAATTTTTCAAGGATGCTGTAATTTACACCAAGAATTTATAACACAGAAGGGGACCCAATCTCCTCCATCTTTGGTGAGAGAGAACACAATCTCCTCCATCTTCGGTGAGTGAGCGAGCTGGGGTTGCAGGCACATAGCAGCACACGTAGCAGCACACCTTGTGTTACTGAACACACAGTGATAACTCAG